GCCTTCCAGGGCAATTGCAAGGATTACAAGTGCAAGGATTACACTGAAAGGGCTATACAAATGCTAAGCGCTGAGATGATATACTGCCAAATTTTTAAAAAGCTAATCTTCCTCTAATGGAAAGCAATTAGAATGATTCAGATACACAAAAATGGACCCAACCTCTGCAACAGTTCATTACAGTTAATAATGTTTCCACTTTAAAGCTGTAGTCATTCAATCAGTGTATGCCTTTCTCACTTGGACACGGTCGATACAATTTTTTTTAATCAAATAGTTTTAATTTTATTTGTAACAATTAACATACAACAAAACATACAACCATAATAACAACAAAAAATTTTAAAGGATTTTTTATTTCATATATAAGCAGGGGTCATTTCCTGCAGGAGCGCACAGCAGCGGAGCTCCAGCAGTAAAGAGCCCAGAGGGCGGACACGTGCAACAAGCCCCACCCCCTGCTCCCAGCAGTCCTCAGTCAGAGCAAGAAGCAGCCAGGTAAGTTGCAGAGCTCCCCCCCCTGCCCCCCCGATCCAAAACAGTCCAGTGGCACCTTTAAGACCAAGTTTTATTCAGGTACAAGCTCTCCCTCCTCTGTGAGGGCAGATCTGCACGTCCCCCCCCCCAATAGCTAGAAATCCATAAGAGTCCAGTGGAGCCTGAGCGGTGGGTGCTGCCTTCTGACACACTTCCAGTGATGTCACGGGGTGTGGCATATGCAAATAAGTTATGCTAATGAGTTATGCTAATGAGCCCCTGCATCTCTTTTTCTATGAAATGACCCCTGTATATAAGACAGGCAAAGACAAACATACATAGATACAAGTTTGGGGGAAATTCTATTGTGTCACTGTTTAACCTAGTCATTGACCTCATACTATATCCAAAGCATTCATTTCTTTTTTTCCAACTTATGATTTTCATATATACCTTTTGCTTACAATTAAATACATAGTTCCTATTTCTTTTTATTTTGGTTACAGTTTTGTATGTCATGTCCTTCTATCCATTTATAAAATCTTGTCCGCGTGTCCTCAAAGTCATCTGTGTTATGCCCTCTCAACATTAAAGTTAAATTGTCCATCTCTGCTGTTTCCAATATTTTATCTAGAACATTATAACTATAATGGATGGATGGAGACATTCAATGAACAATGCAGTAGGAATTAGGGTTGTAGAACCAGCCAGAAGTCTAAAAACAGAACTGAAGCAAAGCCAAAATCCTGACAAGACACATGAGATCATGCAAAATTCGACCGTGGGAGCCTAGTTTCAGTAGCGTAGACTACAGTCACTGATAATTTCCCCTAGTAACTGAGTGGATGACCTTGGGCAAGCCATAGTTCTGTCAGTGTTCTTGAAAAAGAGCCGTTTCTGTCACAGCTCTCTCAGCCCCACCTACCTCACAGGGGGTCTGTTGTGGGGAGGGGAAGGGAAAGGAGTTTGTAAGCCGCTCTGAGACAGCTTTGGGTAGTGCAGGGCGGGGTATAAATTCAATCTCTTCTTCTTCTTGAGAGCCAGTTTGGTGTAGTGGTTAATCCGGGAGAACCGGGTTTGATTCCCCACTCCTCCACTTGCACCTGGCTGGATGACCTTGGGCAAGCTGTAGTTCTGATAAGAGCTGTTCTTGAAAAAGAGCAGTTTCTGTCAAGAGCTCTCTCAGCCCCACCTACCTCATAGGCAATGCTCCCTCTAAGCCGTGGAGTCTTGTGAGCAAAAATTCTACTTTGTGAGCTGCTGGCATTAAAGTTGTGAGCGAGCGATTTGGCTACGGCATAAATCAGTTTGTTCTGGAGCCCTCCTTCCTGAGCAAAGATAAAAATGTGTGAGCCGGAGGCTAAAAAACTGTGAGCTAGCTCACACTAACTCAGCTTGGAGGGAACACTGCTCACAGGGTGTCTGTTGTGGGGAGGGGAAGGGAAAGGAGTTTGTAAGCCGCTCTGAGACACCTTTGGGTAGTGAAGGGTGGGGTATAAATCCAATCTCCTCCTCCTCCTCCTCCTCCTCTTCTTCTTCTCTTGAACAGTTCAGTTTTGCATCGTTTGCGGAAAGGCCGGAGAGTGGGAGCCCTCCTGACCTCCTCAAGCAGGCCGTTCCACATAAGAACATAAGAACATAAGAGATGCCAATGTTGGATCAGGCCAAAGGCCCATCCAGTCCAACACTCTGTATCCCACAGTGGCCAGAAATACCAGTGCCATCAGGAGGTCCACCAGTGGGGCCAGGACATTAGAAGCCCTCCCACTGTTGACCCCCCCCAAGCACCAAGATGACAGAGCATCACTTGCCCCAGAGTCCCTATCTATACCTTGTGGCTAATAGCCACTGATGGACCTCTGCTCCATATGCTTATCTAATTCCCTCTTGAA